ATTTCAAACGTCAATGTTTCTAATTTACACCTTTCTTTACTATATTTTACGAAAAAGGTAGAAACATTAATACATATATCTTTCTGTTTAATTGCTATTAAAATTTTAAAAAAATTAATTTCCAGGGGGCGCTGAGTAATATTTTTTCTGGAAAGGGGGCGGTAGGCCAAATAAGTTTGGGAACCAGTTATAGATCCTGCCTAAGAGTGAACAAACCTCAGGGGAAAACGTTCCCTGATACCCGACTCCCTCCTCACCTGTTCTTTCCAGCAGAACCTTGTTGATCCTTCCTGTGAAGACAGTTCCTTCTTCGTGGCCTGTGAGATGCTTGCAGCTCTATGGCTGGGTTGTTTTCCACATCGCCAGAGCCTCCTTCCCTTACTGCAATAATCCTGTCAAAAAAAATTTCTTTTGACTTGTCTAGATTATTTTTATTTCATAATACAGATTGCCAAGTTGTTTCATTGTCTGTTGAATAGTTTACTCCCTTTTACCCAGATTTGGAGCTGTTTTTTGCGTGTGTTTTTTTGGAAGTATGACTATGCCAGATTCATGTATTGTTCCTGGCACATCTTAATCTGCTGTTTCTCTGACTGTTCCCTATGGCTATTTCCATAAATTTTTGTTTCTATTTTAGTCCTTGAGTCTGTCTTTGTCTCCCCATTTTCCTCCTTCTTCACTTACCTGTATCCTCGAGGTCAGCTCCTGTCTTCAGATCACTCCAGAGAGACCTACATGGAGAGTGGGTTCCTTCCCAGAGCATGGTAAGCTGCTGACTCTGACCTCCAGCTGAGACTTGGGCTCTGGCTGTGGTGGAGGTGCCTGAATTTATACTCCAAGAAGGATGTAAAAAGTGGTTTCATTTTTGGATTTTCCAATAAATCAGCTGACTAAAAGGAATTATGTTTATTTATTTTTATTGCGATTTTTTTTGTTTTAAAATTACTTTAGTTAGAAGACTAATTAATTGTGTGTGTGAGTGTGAGTGAGTGTGTGTGTGTGTGTGTGTGTGTATGTGTGAATCCATGAGGTTTAGGGTGAACACAAAATAAAAAAACACACATCACAAACAGGATAGAGATAGAATTTGGGAGGAGACATGGGCACAATTTGCAGATCAGTGATTTCCTCAGGACAGTGCTTTAACTGCTTTGCTGTTCTAATTCTCATATAACCTAAGGACAAAGGGAGAAGCATGCTCCCAGTGCTAATGAAATCTGTTAGTTTTTATTTCAGTAAAGGACTTTATTAGAATTAGTTTCAAGTCTTGAAACTCTGTTTTCCAGAAATGGTTAGTTCGAAATGAATAAACCTTTTAATATTTTATTACCTGATTTGGATCATCCAACTCAAAAGTGTGCTAAGCTCTTAAAGGTGTGTTGTGTAAAAATCTAAAGAGCATATTCTGTGTTTATGGAGAGAAAGAAAGAATTTTGCTCTTTGGTATCCTTCATATTAGAGTTTTCTAGTAATGTTATTTCTGACAGTTGTTCCTCAAACTTAAACCAATATAAAGCATTTTCCTTTATCATGTTTCTCTGAATATAATGCACTATAATATTGATTGCAGACCAGTGCCCCCTGTCCTTATGTTCTATTATTTCAAACTTTTGTGATCTGATGCACGGATGTTCTTCAAGTGAACTTCATACTCATTTTTTCAGTTCCTCCAGAAATCCTACCCACATCTCTTTTCCTACACTTTCCCTTAGATAGGAGCATTGGTGTTTTCTTTCTTTATTTTAAGTTTAGTTTTCAGTTACAGTTGACATTAAATATAATTTTATTTTAGTTTCTGGTACACAGCTTTGTGGTTGGACAATTACATAATTTAGGAAATGATCTCCCTAATAATGTAAGTACCCTCCTGGCACCATACATAGTTATCACAATATTATAGATTATATTCCCTAGAGGCATTGGTGTTTTTTAATGGGCAAGAGTTTAAATGCCAGTCAGGACAGATTTGAATCCAGCATCCAAGAGTTACTAGTATATTTACTTAAGTCTTATGAATGGTGTCAATATAAAAAAACCATTGAAACCTGTAAAGAATTTTGTGAGTTTATTTGAGCCAAACTGTCAACATATGCTGGGAAGCAGAACCTCAACGAATTGAGATAGTGCTCCAAAGAATGGCAGGGTTACATCCATATTTATACATGAAATTCATTGGTGACAGATTTAAGGAGGTGGGATTAAGTGAAGTGGGGAACCCCTGGGATAGGATAAAAAGTAAAATGATGGACACATACTTAGGTGGGTACAGGAACAATTAACATGATAAATGAAGGAATTGGGGTATCTGTCCTGTGCCCAGCACACCTGGCTGTGCCCCAGGGGCTCCATAAAAAGGGAAGTCACAAGTTACCCAGACATCCCAAGGATATGTTATCATAGATGCAAAAAGACAGATAGGCTCAGCTAAGGTAAAGGTAGACCTTATCAGTGAAGATATCGGCTTAGGACTGTAACTGCCCACCATAACTGCTTTTAATTAAGGTTTAATTTATGACCATCCTTTGTGGTTACTTTAGGTCTCTGTGGTTACTTTAGGTCTCTGTGGTTACTTTAGATCTCTGAGTCTGCAAAACTGCCATGCAAGCCTCTCCTGAGCTTGTCAGGTCAGCATATGGCCCCTTTCGTCCACAATGGGAAGTTCAACCCAAGTAATGAGAACAACTCAGTACTGGAATGAATTTTTGCCAGTAGTACTATCTACCTCACATAACATTAAAGGGGATAAAATGCTTAGCCTGAAATAATGATTCAAATTCAGATTTTTCTTCCTGGCACATAATTGGTTTGAAATTCAAATCTATCAAAAGAAGAGGCATCAAGGGAATGTTTACAAGTGCAATATTCCATGAGTTGTTTAATTCAACTCTTTGAGATTTTCTATGTTAGAGCCACCATCTTACAGTTCTTGGGGCCTTTATTTCCCATTCATATGCTGTGCCTTATGTCAGTGTCTATATCTTGTCTATTGCTATGCTATTGTGACAGAGAATATAAAGCATAAAATATTTATTCAATATTGTACTAACCAGAATTAAACATGAATCAACAAATTAACAAGTCTGTTGGAACAAAAAGATGAAGCAGATTTCTTGCTAGCATCTGTATTTTAGCTTCTATTTTAGTACATTGCAAGGACCAACAGTTTCAGTTCCTGTCCAGATAAGAGACTGCGGTAGCTGGGCTTGAAGGAGAAGCTGAGAGGGCTGCCTACTCTGGCAGGAGGCTCTGAAACTGGGGGGTGTTAGGTTAGATGGCTTAGAGGCGGCGTAGGAAATAAAGAGAGTCCAGTGAATCAGAAAAAGGAAGAAAAGGAAAACGTTTATTGCGTCCCCGGGAGACCCACTTACGCCAAAGACAGGGCATGTGGATTCATGCCAACAGGGAGGGGGGCGCTTTTTTTATACTGTGGTTGGGTGAGGGGCGGGGACATGAGCTGAGGTATTCAGTTGTAGAAGTTTCAGCTGCAGGGGTCAGCAAGGTATTCAGGAATGAGTCAGTATCTGTGTGGGGGTCATGTTGATTCAGGGAGAAGCCAGTACAGCGGTGCCTTGACTTACGAGGGTCCGACTAACGAGTTTTTCAAGATATGAGCCGTCTCTCAGCTGATTTTTTTGCTTGAGTTGCGAGCTAAAATTCGGGTTATGAGCCAGCTTCAGATACCCCACCACTAGATGGCGCAGCGAACGTCACAGTGAATGCCACAACATCAGCCCAGCATCATGTGTCTCACTTGTTCACTGTTGATTTGACATACGAGTAATTTGAGTTATGAGCTTCATCACGGAACGAATTAAACTCGTAAGTCACGGCCCCATTGTATATATAAAAGCCAAGCAACCAGAACGATGGAACAACCAGTTGCTATGACGCGCACTGCGGCATCCAACTGGCCCAATCCGGGCCCCGATCGCCCCCCACAACCTCCTTCGGCCCCTTCCCCCACCTG